TTAAACAAAGACAAAATATCATTTAAAAACAAGAATATTTTCACAAGCAGTTTTAGCCACTAACAGAAGAACTTGAATTCTATTTCATGTACATTTTGTAAGAACTCTATAAGAGACATTTCATGGTGTTCTGGCAGGAAAATGGAAGCCTGACCACTGGTCCAGGATTTCCTGCTGATTCTACCACATGGTTCATATTAAAAATACCTCACTTAGATTTTTTCCCTTATTTTATAATGTATCTTATAGATTTTTCCATGATAACACATGTAGACATAATATGGTGTCTATTTGGTACTAAGAAGCAGTTAGAAGTAGCTGGAAACACATCAAAGCAAACTGAGTCTTAACATTAACTTTTTTTGATAAAATTTTTACTCCCCAAACTTTCCAATTATCAGTAGCTATAACAAGACAGAAACAGCTAACATTTACTGAATATTTGCATATGTGATTGACATGAATTATTCAATATTTACAGTGACCTATAAGATATATATAATGGCTATTTCTATCTTACAAATAAAATGCATGAAGTTTAGAATAGTTAACTTGCCCAAGGTCACAGAACTAGCAAAATAGAGGACTCTGTTTTTAAACTTACTTATATTTACTTAAGTATATTCTTAATTCATTTGTCTCTGTCTCTGTGTTCACTGATAACACTGAATGCTGTTAGGCTGTTGTCTTCTCTCCAATCTCTTGTTTAAATTTAACTAATTCAAGAGTACTCATGTAGGCCATTCTAATTTAGGCTTCACCTGTGTCAAAAAAGCCTGCAGTAATTTGCTTGAACATAATCTATATGTACTATGGAATTTGAACTTCTTATATTAGTGCTGTAGTCAAGACTAGTGTTATGTATTGGGTGAATATGCAGTCAATAGTATGATTTGAGTTGTTAATCAAAGTATGATCTCAGAGGATGATCTTGGAGTAATCAAAGAAGTATTACAAAATAATAAGATGATTAAATTTAAACATAATTTATCTAACCAATCTGAAAGGAATGGAAAGGAAGTATTCATTAAACACCAGGAAAAGTTTTAAGGAGAAAGACTTATGCCTGTATAGAGTATAAAATGGAGAAGAAAATTAGAAAGAGATTCATTCACTTTTGTTCTTAAGAACCTAGATTTACACAATGCCATGCTGGCCTTCAAGAAGCATACCTGTCAAAATGGGGACTCCAGCAATGATGGGATGAAACGAATTGGAAGTGGCTGGGGATCAGGACTTCAGGGTACCAAGCAGGGTTGAGTAGAGTGGCATGGAGGAAAATAGGGGCCAGGACAAATGTGTCTTCTCCAGGGACAGACCCAAGTATGCATGGGTTCAAAGGTAGATTTCAACTTGGGAGGTTAGGCTGTTGGTAAGATTTTTTTAAAAAATATAACTTGTGGGTTTGAAGAAAGTGTGAGACAAGTGTTGTTGGCTAAGTTGTATAGCCAGTGAAAGACTGGGCTTTCCTTCAATTAAATGTGAGGCAAGAATAAGTTGGCAGAGGTAAGGGATGCAGTGTTTTTATCTTATTTTCCTTTACACTACTTACTTTAAAAATTTATTTCCTTTCTAGCCTCCTTCCTTGAAGGATTAAATGTAGCTTTCAGTAAGTCACACACACACACACACACACAATGTGCTGGTGGAGTAGCTCAAGGTGTAGGCTGAGTTCAAACCCCAGTACCGCAAAAAACAAAAAAAGAAAAAAAAAGTTTGGGGGGGGGGGGGGGGGGGGGGGGGGGGGGGGGGGGGGGGGGGGCGGGGGGGGGGGGGGGGGGGGGGGGGGGGGGGGGGGGGGGGGGGGGGGGGGGGGGGGGGGGGGGGGGGGGGGGGGGGGGGGGGGGGGGGGGGGGGGGGGGGGGGCTGGGGGGGGGGGGGGGGGGGGGGGGGGGGCTGGGGGGGGGGGGGGGGGGGGGGGGTGGGGGGGGGGGGGGGGGGGGGGGGGGGGGGGGGGGGGGGGGGGGGGGGGGGGGGGGGGGGGGGGGGGGGGGGGGGGGGGGGGGGGGGGGGGGGGGGGGGGGGGGGGGGGGGGGGGGGGGGGGGGGGGGGGGGGGGGGGGGGGGGGGGGGGGGGGGGGGGGGGGGGGGGGGGGGGGGGGGGGGGGGAGGGGGGGGGGGGGGGGGGGCGGGGGGGGGGGGGGGGGGGGGGGGGGGGGGGGGGGGGGGGGGGGGGGGGGGGGGGGGGGGGGGGGGGGGGGGGCAGGAGGTGTGGCTCAAGTGGTAGAGCCCAAGCCTAGCAAGTTCAGGGCTCTGAATTCAATTCATACCACTGCAAAAAAAAAATTGACCAGCTTTCCCGAGATCGCCCTACACACAGGAGGTTGAACTCAGGGTCCTCAGCTATACCACTTAAGCCATGTTCACAGCCCTGTTTTGCTTTTTGTTTTTTGTTTGTTTTTGAGATTGGGTCTGGTTGGCCTGGAACTGCAATCCTTCTGTCCCTGCCTCAAGAGTGCGCCAACACTTCCAGCCTCCATGGTTTTTAATATGGCTCATTCTGGTAAAGGGGTATCCCTGACTTCCCTGGGTTCCTTGCACCTTGTATGTCCTGTTTTTCTTTATACTTCTGGAGTCCTGTCACAGGAGCACTAGTGGAAATTCCATTAAATCTATACATTTCAATATGAACAAAAATAAGTAGGGTGGTTTGGAAGCACAGAAGGATACCCAGCCCTTTATTGAATGGGATGACAAGTCAAAAAAATGCATTCCGCAGCTCCCGCCTTGGGTCTCCCAATACAAGACAAGTTTCAATTATATGTCTATGAAAAGGGAGGACTGCCCTTGGGCATGGTGACTCAGCTCTGGGGCATCACTCCCCAGCCAGTAGGTTACTTAAGCAAAGAGTTAGATCAGGTAGCCAAGGGATGGCCAGGATGCCTCAGAGCAATGGCTGCAGTAAGCCTTCTAGGGCTTGAAGCTCAAAAACTTATCCTAAACCACCCCCTAACGGTTTATACCCCACACGACCTAGGGGGAATTTTAAACTCAATAGGAGAACTTTGGCTATCTGACAGCCGTCTACTTAAATATCAGGCCCAGCTTCTGGGAGGGACAGAAATAACTTTAAGGACCTGTCAGAGCCTAAATCCTGCATCCCTTCTACCAGAGGCAGAGGGAAATCCTGAACACTCATGTGAGGAGGTACTTATGGAAAATTATGCTGCCCAACCTGACTTAACTGATCAGCCCTTAAAAAACCCAGATCTAGAATTATACACTAATGGCAGTTCCTTTGTCAATAATGGTGTCAGACATGCAGGGTTTGCAGTTGTGACAGAATTTGGCACCCTCACATCAGGTCCTCTTCCTCCTAATACAAGTGCTCAATTGGCAGAATTAGTGGCCCTAACATAAGCCCTGAGACTGTCAAAAGAACAGAGAGTAAACATCTATACAGTTTCTAAGTATGCCTTCCTGATCCTGCATACTCATGCAGCCATTTGGAAGAAAAGAGAAATGCTAACTCCAACAGGAACAGCTTCCCATAGACATAAGAGAGGTTACTTTAATAGATTTAGGGATAACAGCATTAGTTGCAGCCCTTGTTGGAATCAGCTATGCGGTAATTGCCAATTATGTAACTGCAAAAAACCTAACCAAAATGGTAGAGGACACCTCAGACCAGGTAGGCCTTGCCATTAAGGACATGCAAAGGTCTTTGTCCTCCCTTGCGTATACGGTAATGGACCACGCCTGGCCTGGCCCTAGATTTTCTTTTGGCCAAGCAAGGGGGGGTATGTGCCATTGCCAATACCTCCTGTTGCACATATATAAACACTTCAGGCATTGTAGAAGAACATGCAGATTACATTCTCCAACAGGCTAAGTGGCTCTGGGAGCAATCTCTTGAAACTCAGGTTTCTACTCAGGTATGGGAACAAATAAAATCCTGGCTCCCCTCCAGGACTTGGTTCCTACCCTTTTTGGGGCCTATAGTTGCCATTATTCTCTTGCTTGTGTTTGGGCCTTGCATTTTAAACTTACTTGTCAAGTTTGTTTCTTCTCGCCTAAAATCCATCAAACTACAAATGCCTCTGGTGGAAATGAAAACGATCTTCTACCCTGGTCCCCTTGACAACCCCTCTCATGGTCAGCCCTGACGCTGCGGGCCCCTTCACCGCCTCCTGTCAGCAGGAAGCAGTTACTGAATAGACCTTGTCATCCCTATCCCAAACAGCAGTTAGGGTGACCATTGAGAGAGGGAATGAAGGACTGAAGGACAGACCTCAGGAGGTCAAGGAGACACTTCTCCTCCCTAGGAAACGCCTGTTTGCATTTGAAGGGCATCTCCTGCCATCAGGCAATGCAAATAGGCTATAAAACCCCACTCCCCACCCTGGCCCTCAGGATCATCGGTTTCCGGGTCCCCCTGCATTCTCCAATATAGTCTTTCTCTTCTCTTTTCTCCAACTAAATTCTCTACAAATAAAATCTTTCCGACCTCTGCTGTTAGAGTCTGTCTCTGCTTTCATTCTCAGAGCAGGCTCAAAAACCCTGAGCACCTGAAATTCCTGTGCGTGTCATCTGTGCACCACAATGACTCCTAAGACACACTGGCCTACTATAAGGGCAATAAAAGGTGTCTTCCTCTGCTTAATGTCTCCTGCCTCTGTACTTTGGCAATGACTAGCACATAGGTAGGTGCTCAATAAGTATTAACTGAATGAAACAATGAATATGAATGAGTAATGGACCCGATCTTTGTAAACACAGTTTATGCCGCGCTGAAATCCACAATCTGTTTACAGGCTGGCTCTACCTGCCAGCCTCTTTTCCAGGAACACCCCGCCTCTGGGGAAAACAAGGGCCTGTCAATCCTCGCAAGGCAGAGCAGGGCCCCGCCCCTCTACGGATTTTGGAAGACCGGCTTTAGGACCTGGTGCAGCCCAGAAGGAGGTCTGGAGGTGGAATAGGAGAGGCCGCCGCACTTATCGACGTCATCGGCACGCGCCAGCGGAGGTGAGGACCCCGAGAACCGTGGGGAAAATACACTGACCATGGCGTCCCCCGTCCAGCAGCCTCCTCAGCCTGTCAGCGGGAAGCGCAAAGGCAAAGCTCAGTACGTGCAGGCCAAGCGGGCTCGCCGTTGCGACGCCGGCGGGCCGCGGCAACTGGAGCCCGGGCTACAGGGCATTCTCATCACGTGTAATATGAACGAGCGCAAATGCGTGGAGGAAGCCTACAGCCTGCTCAATGAATACGGTGACGACATGTATGGGCCCGAAAAGGTACCGGTCTCGGGTTGGGCGCGCTGTCCTGTTAGGCTTTGAGGGTAGACCGACCAGAGTAAGGCCAGCTGACTTTATGCGCATGCGCGCTATGGACCGCGTGCTGTTGGGCTTTGCCTACGTTTCCGCCCCCTGGTGTGGCCTCTTGCAGAATCCTGATAGATGGTGCTGTGTTTGTGCTGGCATTTTGGATTTTTCTACCCATTATTAATCACGGTAGCTTCTATTTATTGATTGCCCTGTTCGGGCCAGGCCTTGTGCTTAAGAAGTTGTGAAGTTGACTGTAATAATGTTTTTGCCTTAGGCCACCGTTATCTCTGGAATAGTGGGTTTGGTACTAGGGCTAGTTACTTCCCAGCTGCTCATAAAAATACATTTTGAAAAGTAAAAAGTTTTGTCCCAGTACAATCACTGTCTTATTGTAGTTTGCAAATCATGATATTATTGGCTTGGAATCTGGACCAGTACACACAAGCACACTCCGAAAAATTAATGAAGAAGGATAGCACAGAGAGTCCATCATTTATTAGCTCAAAGACTTGGGCATGGACAAGTTACTTAATTTTTCTGAGGAAGATGAAAAAAGAATAGTGGTAATATTATGGAAGGTTGGCTAAAATGTTCATATACACAAATTATGTTCTGGTATTTTACAAAGCTCCTTAAGATGTGCAGAATTATTATTAGTGCCTGATTGGAAACCCCCACTGGTAGGTCAGAGAACAGGCCAACAGGTGTATACCTGTTGATACATTGAGTGAGTTTTTTTGTGTTTGAGACAGGGCTTGTTTTGTAGCCTAGACTAACCTCAAACTTGCAGTCCTCCTACCTCTGCCTCCTGAGTGTAGGGATTATAGGTGTGGGTTACCACAACCAGCTTGAGCAAGTTCTCTTTTTTTTGGATGGCACTGTGGTTTGAACTCAGAGCCTCATGATTGCTAGGCAGGCACTCTTACCACTTGAGCCACTCTGCCAGCCCTTAAGCAGGTTCTGGAATCCTGTCTGTGCCCTGTTCCTGAGCAGAACAGGAATAGGTTTTACATTCTGTTAAGTATTTGGTTCTTATTTCCCAAAAGGAGAATATCATATGAGGCACAAAGATAGGTAGTGATGGTGTTAAGGTCCATGCTGACATGTTTCATCTGGTGAGCATATTTCTGTCTGTGCCAGCCTGTTAAAATGCTTCCTGAAAATATCTTGAAATTATGTATCATAATCTAAAGGAACTCATTTCTTGTTTACATTTTAGAGGGAGTTGTCTCAGTCTCATAATAAAAAACATTAATTGTCAATTTTGAGCCGTCCACCACTGGGGGTTTCCCATAAGTAGTTAATTATAGTGTTTGAACATGAGCTAGTGTGTCATTTCTGCTTATTGGTTTTATGTAACAGTTCATAGACAAGGATCAGCAGCCCTCTGGAAGTGAGGAAGATGACGATGTGGAGGCTGCCTTGAAGAAAGAAGTTGGTGACATTAAGGCTTCTACAGAGATGAGGCTAAGAAGATTCCAGTCAGTGGAGAGTGGAGCCAATAATGTAGTCTTCATTAGGACACTTGGGATAGGTGTGTCTGACTCATATTCCTAAGATCATTGATCCCCTAATATCTCCCTGTCTCAGAGAACACTGCCTACACATGGCTCCATTAATCACTTGATTGAAACCTCCCTACACTGTATTCGCAGTAGGAACTTTAGAATAGGGTTGTATATATAATATTGGCTTAGAAGTGGAAACCTGGCGTGTTACTTCTTTTGTATGTAACTTTGTGCTGAAAGGGACAGCTGCTAGTCAGCTCTGACTAGTAGTTGCCATTTGTGGGAATTTGGGCTAGATCTTTAGATTTTTCAAAAAGCTGGAAATCTGGAGAAGTTCTTTGACTTTTAAAGTGTGCTCAACTAGTTAAAAAATCTTAAAAACATTGAGCATCGTGCCAGATAGACTTGGATGTAGGCAGAATGCAGCCTGAGGACCACCATTTCGTGGTACTGAACTGCATAGTTCTGGATGGAGTTCTTCCCAGTACTGAGATCTAGAGTTCTGTATTCATTTGCTAATGGATAATTAAATCATTTTAAATGACAGGCAACTTTTTGTTTTTGTGAAAAAGTATATAGTGTTTAATATTTGTTACTCTGCATTGCTACTGTTACAGGAAAACCATATCCAGGGTATTGTGGTTGGCTAAATTAGGACATCAGAAAAAAGTTAACTTGGGTCTACATGAACAATTATTTTTAGCAAATGCAGTAATAGTGAGGAAAAGTTAAAAATTAGATACAGAGTAGGTACTGAAGAAATATTAGTTGGAAAAATTGTTCTGTGCTTTCTTTTAGAACCCGAGAAACTGGTGCATCATATTCTCCAGGATATGTACAAAACCAAGAAAAAGAAGACTCGAGTTATTCTACGGATGTTACCTATCTCGGGCACGTGCAAAGCTTTCTTAGAAGATATGAAAAAATATGCAGAAACATTTTTGGAACCCTGGTTTAAAGCTCCAAACAAAGGGACATTTCAGATAGTATACAAATCTCGAAATAATAGTCACATGAATAGAGAAGAAGTTATTAAAGAACTGGCAGGTATGTTTCTCTTAGTGATTTTAAATAGGTGTGCAATGGTTAACAAACTTGTTTTTAAGGATTTCTTTTTTAAAGATATAAGGCTTAAATGTTTTTCTTTGTAGAATGAGTACATGAAAGTATTAAACCTGATTTAAACATCTTAAATAGGAGGTTTTCTGGCAGTTAAAGTCATTTCCAAATTGAGATTGAATTTTCTCTGGGAATAACATATAGTTGTCTCTCTCTACCCTTGGGAGATAGGTACCAAGATTCCTTACAAATACCAGAATCTCAAGTTCCTTATGTAAAATGGTATAGCATTTGCATATAACTTACATGCATATCTTCCTTTGTACTTCTTTTTTTAAATAGGGTTCATTATGACATTTGCACATGGGCATCCAATGTATTTGGATCATGCTCACCCCACCATCATCCTCTGTTTTCCTTTTACTGCTCCTCCTGTGTCCCCCACCCCAATAGTTGCCCTTTTTGTTTCCTTTCCCTTGCTTTTGATCTAAATTCAGTATATGAGAGAAAGCATGCAATATTTGTCATTCTGAGTCTGGCATGTTTCATTTAACATGGTGGTCTACAATTTCATCTATTTTTCTACAAATGACATAATTTCATTCTTTATGGCTGAATAATATTCCACTGTATAAATACATCATGTTTTCTTTATTCATCTGTTGGTGGCCACCTAAGCTGATTCTGTAACTTGGCTATTGTGAATAGAGCTGTGATAAACATGAATGTGCAGGTATCTCTATTGTATGCTGACTTAAATTTCTTTGGGTATATGCCCAGGAGTGGCATAATAGGGTCATGTGGTAATTCTATTTTTAGTTTGTTTCTTTTTTCTTTCCTTTTTTTTTTTTTTTTGTTGGATGTCCTGGGATGTGAATTCAGGGGTCTCAGGCTTGCTAGGCAAGTACTCTACACTGGAGCTATGCCCCCCAACTCTATATTTAGTATTTTGAGGACCCTCATAATGATTCAATGATTCCCATAGTGGCTGCATTAATTTAATTAAATTAATTTCCATCTGCAGTGTTTGCAGGGTTCCATTTTCACCAGCATTTGTTACTTGTTTCCTTGATGATAACCATTCTGACTGGGGTGAGATAGGATCTCAGTGTCACTTCTGTTTGCATTTCCTTTATGGCTGAGGATGTTGAACATTTCTTCATGTATTTATTGGCCATTTTTACTTCTTTTGAGAACTCTGTTCAATTCATTTGTCCACTTATTAAATGGATTGCTTGTTCTTTTGGTGTTTTTTTTTTTTTTTGTGGTACTGGGATTGGAACTTAGGGCCTAACGCTTGCTAGGCAGGTGTTCTACTACTTGAACTAAACTCCAGCCCATTTTTTGAGCTCTTTATATGTTACAGATATTAATCCCTTTTCAGATGAGTAACTGGCAAAGATTTTCTTCTATAGGCTTTCTCTTCACTCTGGTAATTGCTTCCTTTGATGTGTGTGAAGCTTTTTAGTTTGATGCAATCTCATTCCTCAGTTCTTGCTCTTATTTCCTTAGCTACTGGAGTCCACCTCAAAAAGTTTTTGCCTCTTCCTTTATCTTGAAGTATTTTCTCTAGTAATTTCAAAGTTTCAGTTCTTATATATTAAGGTCTTTGATCCATTTTGAATCAACTCTTCTTTTTCTTTTCTTTTTTTTTTTTTTGGTGGTACTTGGGGTTGAACTCAGCGCCTTGAACTTGCTAGGCAGGTGTTCTACTTGACTCATGCCCCAAGCCTTGAATTGACTTTTCTACAGAGTGAGAGATAGGGATGTAGTTTCTGTTTTCTTCATGTGATTATTCATTTTGCCCAGCAGTGTTTTGTTGGAGAGGTTGTCTTTTCTCCAACATACGTTTTTGACTCTTTGGTCGAGAATCAGGTGGCTATAGCTGGGTGGGCTTATTTTTAGGTGCTCTTACATTATTCTGTTGGTTTATGTGTTTATTTTCAAGCCAGTTTCATGCTGTTTTTGTTACTATCTCTATGTAGTGTAATTTGAAGTTAGGTATTGTGGAACCTCTAGCATTGCTCTTTTTGCTCAGGATTGCTCTGGCTATTTGGGGTCTTCTGTGCTTCCATTTCTGTGAGAAATAATATTGGAATTTTTATGGGGATAGCATTGAATTGGTAGATTGCTTTTGGTAATGTAGCCATTTTTACAATATTCTGCTGACCCATGTACATCGTCTAGTGTCTTCATTTTTTTCTTCATTGTCTTGTAGTATCCATTGTAAAGTCTTTTACCTGGCTAGTTAAGTTTATTCCTAGCTATTTTATTGTTTTGAGGCTGTTGTGAATGGGATTATTTTCCTTATTTCTTTCTCAGCATGATCTTTATTGGTATATAGAAACCATGCTACCAATTTTTGTATTTGATTTTGTATTTTGGTATTTTGCCAAAAGTGTATAGCAGATTTAAGAGTGTTCTGTGGCGGATTTAGGGTCTGTTAAAAATAGTGATAATTTGGCTTCTTCTTTTCCTCTTTTGTATCCTTTTTATTTCCTTTTCTTGCCTGGTTGCTCTGGCTAAAAATTCAAGCAGTATATTGAATAAAAGTGGAGAGAATGGAAACCCTTGTCTGGTTTGTGGCTTTACAGGAAATGCTTTCAGTTTTTCCCTATTTAGTACAATGTTGTTTATAGGTTTGTTATTTACAGCCTTTATAGTGTTAGGATGCATCTTCTATTCCTAGTTTCTTCTGGGTCTTTATGAAGGGAGGTGGAATTTTCTCAAAGGCTTTTCTAGTAGCATTCTTTTCCTTTCTATTTAATGGAAGGATTTAGGAGGAGCATTGGTCTGGTAGAATTCAGCAATGAATCCATCCTGTCCTGGGGTTCTTTTTTTTGGGGATACTCTTGGTTGTGCTTCAGTTTTATTACTTATTATAAATGTGTTTAAGTTGTTTGTATCCTCTTGGTTCAATTTTGGTAGATCATACATGTCTAGAAATTTATCCATTTCATCTAGACTTTTTCCAGTTTATTGGAGTGTAAGTTTTTAAAACATTCCCAAACAATCTTCTCCATATCAATGTTATCTGTTGTAATATTCCTTTTTCATCTCTAATTTTATTAATTTAGATTTTCTCTCTTTTGGTTAGTTTGGCTAAGGGTTTCTCAATCTTGTCTCAAAGTACCAACTCATTGTTACATTTATTCTTTTAGTCTACAATTCATTAATTTCTGTATGATCTTTATTATTTCTTTTACTGATTTTGGGTTTGTTTTGTTTCTTTTTTCTGCAACCATTAGATGCATCAGTAGTTATTTATTTGAGATCTCTATGATTTTTTTAAATATGGGCACTCATGGATATAAACTTAGAATTGCTTATGCTGTATCCCATAGGTTAGCTATGTTGTATTTTCATTTTCATTTGATTTTAAGAATTTTAAGATTTCTTCCCTCATTTCTTCAGTGACCCCTCTGATCATTCAGAATGTACTGTTCAGTCTTCATTTGTTGGTATAGTTTCTGTAGTTTGTCTTGCTGTTGATATGTAATTTTGCTCCATTATAATCTAATAAGATAGAAGAAATTATTTTACTTTTCTTGTATTTGTTAAGACTTGTTTTATGGTCTAAAATGTGATCTATTTTGAGAATGTTTCAGAATGGGTATTCAGTAGCTGTTTGATACATTATTCTGTGGAGAACTGTTGAGTCCATTTGCTCTATGGTATAGTATAACTAAGTTTCTTGGTTGATTTTTTTCTTTTTTGTCTAGATGATCTATTTGTTAATGAGAGTGGCTGTTGAAGTCACTCATGATTACTGTATCTGGACCTGTTTTTTCCTTTATGTGGTAATAGTGTTTGACTTATGAAATTTGGTGTACCAAAATTATGTGAGTATAAATTTACTACTGTTATATCTTCTTGGTGGATTATTCCCTTTATTAATATATAGTGACCTTGTTTATCTCTTCTGACTAATTTTAGCTTAAAGTCTACTTTGTCACATAACGAGTATAGTAACTCCTGCTTACTTTTCCATTTGGTTGGTATATCATTTTCTATCCTTTCACTTTCAGTCTTTGTTTTTTGCCAGTGAGGCACATCTTTTGCAGACAATAGTTATATCTTATTTTTTCGGCCAGTTAGCCAGTCTGTCTTTTAATTGGAGAGGTAAGACCATTTGTATTTAGGGTTATTATTGAGAGGTATTTTGTTGGCCTTTTTTTCTTGTTGATCCAAGTGCTATTTGTTCTTTTCCCTTGTTCATCTTAGGAGTTTACTGATTTATTGAGTTGAGCATATTTGATTCTTTCTTCCCATTTGTTTATTCCTCTCATGAATTTATTCTTTCCTTAGCTCTCATGTTTGTGACTGCCTTTCTTTTCTTTGTGTACAATTCCTTTAAACTTCTTCTGTAATACTGGCTTAGTGGTCATGAATTCAATTTGTGCTTATTTCAAAAAGTCTTTATTCCTCCCTTATAAAGGATAACTTTGCTGGATATAGTAATCTTGGTTGGCAGGTATTTACTTTCAAGAGCTTGAAATGTATCATTCTATGTGTTCCTGACTTTCAGGGTTTCTGCTGTATTTCTTCTGGGTTTGCCATTGTAGGATAGTTGGTGTTTTCCTCTTGCAGCTTTCAATACTTTTTAATTAGTTCTGTAGTCTTGGCAATTTAATTATAATGTGAGTGATGTGGAGAGGTTATTTGCTGGTTACATCTATTTGGGGTTCTAAATGTATCCTGTACCTGGATGTTCTGTCATTCCCTAGATTTGAGAAATTTTCTGCTATTATTTCCTTGAACAGGCTTTGTATGCCATTGATTTGTTTCTTGGCTGCTGCTTCTACCCATGGATTCATCCCCTCCAATATTCATTGTACAAGGGGATATTTGTTGTGCCAATTCAGAATAGCCTTACCAATGTACAATGACACCATCTTCCCCCAATCCCCTTCCCACCCCACTTAAAGCAATTGCAGGAGGGTTCATCATTCTATTTCATATATGTTTATGAAGTCCATCAACCATATTCCCTCACCTTTATCTCTTCATTTACCCTTCCTTCTCTCACAAGTACGCCTCCTCCTACCCCATTGTATTTTACAGTCCTGTCTTCCATTTTTAACTCCAAAGTCAATGTTCAAAGGGATTTCTCAATGTATCTGAACTGTGAATATACTTTACTTTGGTTAATTCAACCCTCTATTACTTTCTTTTACCCCCTCCCTCCCACCATCCACTATTCAAAATAGCTTTCAGTACATATCGATGCATGGATACTTAAGTTTGTTCTTTTGATCATGTCCCAGAGTTCTTGAAGGTTATGGTCATGCTTGATTATGTTTTTCTTTATTACTTTCTAAATGTAATATTTACCTAACTTTGTCTTTAATACTTGATAGTCTTTCTTTTCTGTTTGATCTGGTTTATTCATGCTGCTTTCCATTATCTATTTTTATTTGATTCATTGTTTTCATTTCCACCATTTTTGTTTTTATCTTTATTTTTCAGGATCTCAATTTCCTTGCTGAATCTTTTATTCATGTTGCCATCTTTTTCTTCCATTGACTTATTTCATTCATCTGTTTGAATCTCCTGAGATCATTGATCCTTTTTAAAAGTAAACTTTTGTATTCTCTGTTAGGCATTTTCAGTCATTTCTTTACCTTAGGATTCTGTTATTGAGGAGTTACTGGAGTATTGGGAGAGGTTATGTTGCTTTGCTTTTCCATATTTCTTGTGTTTCTAGATTGTGATTTGCATGTCTGTTGGGATGGATGTCTCTCGTGGTTTTATTCAAGTATTTTTCTTAAGGACTCAATCCCCAGTACCTTTAAGAGAGGGGAAAATAAACTATTGTAATAGCAACAACATTGTTCAGGCTGGTGCTATATGCACCCTGGATCTGGCTGGTCTAGGGTCACTTGTCAGCTTCAGGGCTTCATTCACTTAAGAAGTTTCCTCTCTTTTTGTATCCAGAGCCACTACTGTCCCCAATGTACTTTGCATCCTGTGGGCTGAACATCCTCTCTCTTGCTGAAAACCCCCCAGTTTGTATATCATGCAGCAGCAAATGTCAAAGCCTAGGACTGTACCCCAAGTGCATGGGAGAGTAGGGGGAGCAGACAGAGCCTTGAGATCTGCACTGGATGGAGAGAACCGAGGAAACCTCAGTCTGGGGATCTCAGAGCTGTTAGATATTGCCCAACAGTAACTCATTCTGTGGGAGGGAGAAGGTTGGGAAAATAGAGTGATCACTGGGCCTTGATTCAGAGCGCTCAGTTCCACCTAGCCCAAACTGCTCTCTGATGGCTAAGGGGATGGTGTCGGAGCTTGTACTTTGGTGATCCACTGCGATTGGGCTTGCTTCTCTCCACAAAGGGCTGAGCCATCAGTCACCATATGGCCAGAGCTCTCTGCTGCTTAAACTTAGTGGCACCTGACCATCCCTCTTCCTACAATTGCCTCATTACTGTGTCCCACTCAAACACTGTGGGAAGGTGTCCCCAGGCTCCCTGAGTTGGCAATTGTTCCTTGTTTCTCAAATAGGCCCCCTTTCAAGATGGCACTCAGTAGCCAGATGCTGAGCCAGGTGCTCAGGCCTGTAATCCTAGCTACTCAGGAGACAAGGATCAGGAGGATCACGGTTCGAAGCCACCTCAAGCAAATAGTTTGTGAGACCCTATCTCGAAAAAAACCCATTACAAAAAAATGGATTGTGTTGTGGCTCAAGGGGTAGGCCCTGAGTTCAAGCCCCATTGCTGTAAACAACAACAACAAAACAATTAAAAATAAATAAATAAAAGATGGCACCCAACAGCAATAGCTCTCCAAGATATGGGGAGTGGTGGATTTCCTTTCCAATGCTAGCTTGCAGGAGGAGTCACTGTTTCACTAGATCTCCAAACTGGATTTAAGGCTTGTGAGAACTGTGGGCTTATCCTTTGTTTAGGTCTGCCATTCTGTTTCACCAGGGCCACTTGGCTTACCTTGTTAGCGGTTGGTGGCTTTGGCTTCCTCTCCCTACTGGCGAGCAGGTGTTGAGCTGTGGACTCTTTCCTGCTTTTCTTTGTATAGCCTGTTTATTTGTGGCTTCTCAGCTATCCTGTCACCTCTTTTGTGATTCCCAGTGCTCTTTCTCTCTTTGAAATATAGTTTGTTCCTTTACCTAGACTCTTCTCATTTACAGAGTTGCAGGGAGGAAGCTTCTATTCTTTAATTTTATTTATTTTTATTGTGCTGGGTGAGGATACATTGTGGCATTTACAAAAGTTCTTACAGTATATCAAATGTATCATACTTGAATTTACCCCCTTCACCTTTCTCTTTTATTCCCCCCTTCCCCCTGGAAGCTTCTATTCTGCATCTTCAGAAGACTCCTGTGTACTTACTTATTAGTTTTAAAATTATTATATGTATATTTCTTGATAGTACTAGGATTTGAACTCAGGACTTCATGCTTGCTAAGCAGAGGCTCTATTGCCATGCCTCCAGCCCTTTTTTCTCTGGTTATTTTGGAGATGGGGGTCTTGCTTTATTTGCCCAAGATGGCCTGGATGAGCTTTTATGCTTCCTGCAGTAGCTGGGAAGACAGATGTGCACTACTATGCCCCTTTTTTTTTTTCTTTTTTTTGTTGAGATGGGTGTCTTACGAGCTTTTTTTTTCCTGGGCTACCCTGAAACTATGATCCAGCTTTCCATGTAGCTTGGGATAATCACGGGTATGCACTGGTACTCCCAGTTAGTGGTTGAGATGGGGTCTCAGGAACCATTTGCTTTGGCTGGCCTCAAACTGCAGTCCTCCCAATCTTAGCCTCCCAGCTAACTAGGATTACAGGTGTGAGCCACTGATGCCCAGCTATTTAAAAAATTTTTTTGGTGGTGCTGGGATTTAAACTCAAGGCCTTGAGCTTGCTAGACAGGCACTGTGCCACTTGAGCCATTCCCCTAGACTGCCTGTGTACTTTAAATCACTCCTGGATTACTTAGTATTTCTAGTACTATATAAAGACTGTTTAGTTGTTATATATATATATATATATATATATATATATATTGCTTAGGTAATAATACAATATAATGTATTGTTTAAGAAATAAAGATCTATATGTATTCAGTACAGATGCAATTTTCTTTTCCAAATAATTTTGATCCAAGATTGGTTGCACTTGTGTATGCGTGACCTGTGGATGCGGAGGGCCAACTGTACTCATGTATTGAAAGTATTCAGGGAAGTGGTGGCAGAGAGGCTCAAGTGGTAGAGTGCCTGCCTAGCAAGCGTGAGGCCCTGAGTTCAAACCCCAATACCACCAAAAAAAAAAAGTATTCAGGGAATTTATTTGAAGTCCATATTGATGACTGAATTGGTACATATCTTGTTTTAACAAATTCCAAATAGAAAGGGATGAAAAGCTTTTTATATCTGTGAAGCTTAATGAAATCCTCCTCAGCCTAAGTATTTCCCTGTTTTTGTTACAGGAATAGTGGGCAGCCTCAATTCAGAAAATAAAGTAGATCTCACCAATCCACAGTACACGGTGGTAGTAGAAATCATCAAAGCTGTCTGTTGCTTGAGTGTTGTGAAAGATTACATGCTGTTCAGAAAATACAATCTCCAGGAGGTGGTGAAGAGTGCTAAAGATCCATCACAACTTCATCCAAAGCTGGGAAATGGGAAAGAAGCAAAATTGGAACCTGATGACAAATTAAATCAAAATGATTCAGGGGAAGGAAATAAGAACCAGCAAGTGGTACCAGAGAATATTAAGGAGCTAGGGGCAGTCAAAAACAACATCTGAGGCACAGGTTGAAAATGAGGAAAGAGTTAAAACTGAACTTGTAAGTCATATCTCAGAAGGATCCAAGTCAAATGAAAATGATCTCTCATAGTTGTTCATTTTGTGTTGGATATGGGTTTCTCAACAGGGGTTCCATGAGATGGTACTGGGGTTCCATGTAAAATTGTGAGTTAAAATATTCTAACTTTTGTGTGCTGCATAAAACTGATCTTTCAACACTGAATAATGATCCTTCATCCCTGTTAACCGTTTCCTTAGCGTATGGTGATCACACACAGGGAAGTGTGGTAGGATAATGATGTTGACCTCTCTCTGCTTATTACCTCCCCCAGCCTTCCCTTGTGCTCTGCCAACTAACTTTCTTATGGGAATGAACAGTATCTGAGAAGTAGAAAATTAGAGGGAAGTTTTCACGCTAAGGAAAATGTTTTCATGTGCTATAACTCAGCTGTCCCTGCAATGTTTATTGTAAACATTGCAAATCTGGATTGTGTAGGTTAGAACTGAACTATTTTGTGATGGTTTTGTACTTTTTCTGTTTTCATGTTATTATATCTGTTTGTATATTTTACTAATACTTGTTTGTTATGACTAAATCTGATGGTCCATTGCTGCGATTTTTGAAGGCATGTGTAAGATAGAAGAGGACTATTACAGGCATAGACCTACTGATATTTCTGATAAGGTTAGTGGTAAAGAATCAAAATCTTCTGAATTATTTCCATATACTAGTATAGCAGGAGGAATAAGGAAATTCTCTTTACAAGGGTTTCAAGGATTTATTGTATGAATTAATAATTCAAGCTATCCTATTCCAATTGTGCATTGTCTGGCATGCAATTTGTAGATCTAGCAGTTGCTGTAGCAATCGTAACTAAATCACAATTATTTGCAAAGGATCTTGATTACTTTAAGTGGTTTTTGGAATATCAAAATAGAGAAAAGCTTTTGTTCAAAAAATCACACTCAGTGAAAAGGTTTAGGAAGCAAATTTAGAACTTAGAAAAGAAAAAATTTGGTGAAAATTGAATACCAACATTAAAATACTGAGTAAGTACAAGAAATTGAAACAACCTCACTGTCAGTTTCATAAGTCGATTTATAGGTGATATGTCATATGATGCTAAAGAGGTTTTGTATAGTCAACTCAGCCTCCCTACTTGGGTTTGAGTTTACAAAATATTTGTCATGTTGTTGTGCTTATAAGATTTGTAAATGATGATGAAGTTAAAGTAAAAAACTGTCTGCTGCTAGGAGTCTCCCAAAAGAATTTTTTTTGAGACCGGGTCTCATTATATGTAGCCCAGGAAGGCCTATAACACTCAATTCTCCTGTTTCAGCCTCCTGAGTTGCAGGGATTATAAATGTGTGCACCACAAAATCAGCAGCACCAATATATATTTAATGCTGTGTCTTCATACTTAAAAAACCAAAGTGTACTGTCATGGAGTGCTATCATCTATACTGTTGGGGCTCTGTCAGTAGTCGGCTGCAAGACAGTTTTGTGTTATTTAAAAAAAAATTCTGATATTTACTTTCTTCACAGGAATGCTGATATCACAAATTTGGAGGTGAAATGCAGATAGTCTCTGCTGGGTGTGGTGGTGTATATTTTTAATCCCACCTACTCAGGAAGAGGCAGGAGAGTCATGAGTTCAAAGCTAGCCTGGGCAAAAGTAGCAAGACTCTATCTCAAAAATAAAATTTTTAGAAAAGTAGGGAGGAATGGGGCTGTAGTTCCTGAGGCTCTGAGTTCAGTCCCCAGTGCTACCAACCTCCCCCTAAAAATAAACAGAAAATATGCAGAAAGTTCTCAATAATGCTACAAAATGGGTAACTTTAAAGACTCATGTATGCGAGAGTGTTAAAAAAAAATGAACAAACTGTAAACTAAAACCTGGAACAAGAGCATGTAAATCTCCTGCTGCATACAGAGACCTAGTAGCTTGTCAAGAAAAGTTCTCAACAGGGCATTTGACTGGAGACATGAATTTCCAGGATACTTACAAGAATATAGTAGTGCAGATCTTGCTGAGTGCTATAAAATGAAGAGAAATGTTTATAGAAAGTTGCCTGTGTAGCAGAAATTTCCATTGCATATGTAGATGAGCAAGTTTCTAAAATAACGATGGGTACGGAGGCACATCCTAGCACTTGGGAACATGGAAGCAGGAGGAATGAGAGATTGAGGCCAACCTGGTCTACCAAGTGAAGCCCTGTCTCCAGAAAGAAAAAAGGAAAAAAAAAATACTAAGAGTTGTAGATTTTAGAAGGAAACTGACACAAGTCCTTTTAAGAGTTGCCAAAGAACTCTTGTCCTTTTCTAAGTAAGGTTGCGGTTTCTGCAGCAACTTGAGAATGAGGAGACAAATGTCTCAAGTCTTAGGCAAACCCAGGAAAAAAATGCAAAACCAAATTTAGTAGCATTTTCCTCTTTTCCTACTGTGAAGGAAGAGACTCTAGTCTTGACGGTTCTGGATTTCTGTGAAATATAGAGTATCCTTCACTTAGTGCTCACACTAATACTATGAGGGTTCCTTGCTATAGCTCCCTGAATTTGAAACTGCTTTCAAGGGTTCCTTCCAGGTAAAGTAATAAAAATGGCTGGAAGAAACCAATGAGCATTGCAAAATAAACTGTCTAAGTTGAGACTGTTAAAGGGCTGTAAAATTAGTTTGGAAGCTGGATTTATTCTTAAATTTTAAAAAAAGTTAGAAAGTAGTATAAACATGAAGGTTTCCTGCACAAGTGGCTGTGTTTGTTTAATGGCTAGTGAACACAGGAATATATTTCTATTCATAGTCAGGGGCTCTGCTTGCTAAACAAGACTAGAAGGATTTGGGAGGGGCAAAGAGGGTAGGCAAGACCTTGCTGATGTAGATGGGGCTGAAATTTCCTTAGATGTCTTACATATTAACTCTTAAGGAGATTGCAGTCATCTTAAAGTGTAAGAGTACATCATTTGATGTTGCAGAGAGGAGAGGATGTTGGTGTCTTCTTCATCAGATTTGCTCTAAGACAAAGGTGCTTTTATTTTGATTGTGGAAGATAAAAGGACTCTGGGAATACATGGGCTATATGCCTACAGAATGTGAAACTCTGTGGAACTAACTGGTTCTGTTTGCTTTGTGAAGCTGCTACTCTACAGGTTTTATTGTTTATTTACTTTCTTGGTGGTACTGGGGATTGAACTCAGGCCCTTATACTTACTAGGTAAATGTCTACCACTTAAGCCATGCCTCCAGCCCTTTTTGCTTTTAGTTGTTTTTCAGACAGGGTCTTGTACTTTCTTCCTAGGTTAGCCTTGAACCACAATCCTCCAACCTATGCCTCCCATGTAGCTGGGATTGCAGAAATGTACCACCAGTCCTGACTTATTCTTTGAGATAGGGTCTCACTAACTTTTTACCCTGGGCTGGCATCAACCTGCAATTCTATCTCTGCTTCCCAAGTAGTACAGATTTTGATTTTATAGTTTGCTTTTCATTGCATTGTATTTATTTATATTTGGTAAAAATGAGTGTGACACAGACTATTCTTTGCCAACTATATAATGTCTGTGTTGTAATCCAAATTCATTCATTGAAAGATTTACTTTCAGATACGTCAACTATTTATTTTCACTGACATTTTATCTTTTTTTTTAAAAAAAACAAATGATGATATCCTGAGGTAGGAATTAAGTGCTCTTTTCCTTTTAGTTTTTTTTTTAATTTAAAAAAAGCTATGACAGTTAAAAAAACAAAACACCTCCATTGTTATGAGTTATTGAACTTGTTTTGCTGTATAAAGGAAAAGAGTTGAACTTGATACTTTAAAACATGTTTATACAGTTAAACACATTTTCAATTGCTATTTTTACTTGTATTTTGCTTTTGGTACAGCCAAATATTCAGCTTGTTTTCGTAATTCCTGATGTTTTTAAAAATCAAAATAAATTCGTTCTGTTAAGATTGGTGTTCTGTACTTTTTCTGCCTCTTAGTAAATCTTTATAGTGTATGGGTCATAAAAATGTCTACATGTCAAATTGCATGGCAAAAATTATGTGCATGGTCTTAAAAAATAATTCTAAATAATCAAAGATTCAGATATTTTATAGAATTTGCTCTGAAATGAGGTATAACAGTAAAGTACTTAGTTTTAATACATTTACCTATTGGCCTTTGAATTATTTATATTTTAACATTAGTGTTTTAATCTACCTAAAGTATTGATCTCTTAAAAATGTTAAGCCAAAAAAATTCCATCTTGAACATTTCTCTTAGAATAGCCTTTATCTTTATTTTGAATCAATCATGACAAGATAATGAAACAAAGTATCATTATATGCTGTTCTTTTCTAAGTAATCATTTGATTCCTGCTATTTTAAAACATCACAAATCATTACCTTTGTCACTTTGGTCAAAACAGTATTCTTCTCAAATATGTTTAGATTTTTATTTCTTTATTTTTTTGACTAAGTACAAAACAAAAACTCAGTTGAATTTTCAACCAGGAGAAATCTTAAAACATTTTAAGAACGTAGTCACTGAATTATCAGGAAGCAAGAACTAAAGCAGCTGTGTTACTACTCAATCCCTCTGTGTTCTTATGCAGCTATGCTCGTCCCCATTCTTGTTTTCTTAACATGTTGCGTTTGATTTTCCCAGTGATTGTCTTTGGGAGTTCTTGAACAAATTCCACCTAATTGACAGAAAAATGAGACATTTTGACTTAACCCAACTGCCAATACAGTAGGAGAAACTCAGGCTGAATTTTAGGTCTGGAGATTGTCTTAGTCTAAGCTCATTTAATTTTGTGGGTACCAGAAACTGGTATGTTCCTATAGTAAGGACAACAGTGTAATTCCATCATACTGTTTTTTAGTACAGATTCACTTATGTGCTTTGCCAGAAGAAAATAATCCCTTTGCCCCTTGATTTCCCCTATCTAGACCTAGGCCTCTTTTGCCTCATGGGAAATGGAAGTTATACCTAAATTCAAAATGAAAAGAAGTTCTTGGCATTGGAGCTTTTTAGAGCTGGCACATGAAGGTTCTGAGGGAAATTTTAGGGATGGTTTATGGATATAAATTTTTCCCTTTGTGCCCTGAATTGACCATAAAATTTTGTCTTTTTTACCCCCTTTTTCAAGATGAGTCTATGTATTTTAAAATGCTCTGAAAACTTTTCTGAACATCAAACAGTTACTGATTTAGTTAGTCAGATGAAGAAATTGTTAAAATGGTCAAATTATTAGGTTGAAATTAACTACATTTTGGCTGAAATGATGCCAACTGAAAAGGAGAAGGTCAGACAGTATCAACCATTAGGCCTCCAGAGCTAGAAGGAAACTATAGTACCATCTCTGTCTTCATACAGAATTGTTCTTAAATTCTCCTTTGAAGGTTTCAGGAAAGATCCCATAGTTTCTTTGGATACTATCTTCCACCTGAGAAATAAATTAGGTTACCTGATATTTAAAGGCAGGCACTTTGAATTAACAGGGGTATTAAGGCTAAGATTACTAGATAGATGGATCAGATGCCATCCCTAAAAATAAGGCACCTGGTAATTTTATGCCACCATTCCCCTTCCCTATATGAAATGGGACTAATTAGTCCTATAAAGATTCTTAGGATTTTAGAGTTGATAAAAAAAAGTTCTAGTTTATCAAGCATTTGTAGTGCCCTAGTGTAAGACATACAAGCAAAATTCTCAGGGCTAAATAAGCTGAAAAGACAACTTCTACCTACTATAAAGTCAAAATCCAATAAACTACATTTACTGGGTTAGACCCTAATTTGGTAACATAAACTTAACTTGTACTTGCCTTTCTTGGATATTTGTAAGGAGCAGTTGATTTTTTCACATGATCCTGAAGCTCACGCATTAGCTTCTCAGGGTTGGATGATTTGAAGGGTGCAGATAAGACAACAAAAGCTTTCACCACCTGAACAAAAAAGTCAATATGTATTGCTACATTTGTTTTTCAGACATATGAAGGGTTTGGAACCAATGTTGAACACAAGCACTGACTGTTAATAGGGGCTTGAATGATGACTGCCAATGCCAAAGATCACCTCTGAACAAAGCTTGGGTACAGTTGTAAAATCAGGTTTTGAGATCCAATTCCAGATAAATGGACTGTGAATGTGAGGAGGGCCAAGATCTATTTATATGTTGCATGTACTTAACATTTCATTCTGACCCATCCTATTTATTATGCAGGCATTACTTGATTGGCAGATGACTACTTATGCTATCAAACCTATACTGTCTGAAGCATGTTGCAGTGGGACAAATGTTGGTTCTGGAGAATATAGTTTGAAGGGGTGTGCGGTAGGCCTTATGGAGAAAGGACAGTGTATCAGGAAGGATTAACCCATCTCTAGAGGTATTATTTGCCTTGTAATTTTGCTTCTGTATAATGTGTTTAAAGCAATTGCATACTAACTGAGGTTCGTAAGCATAGTTTAAGCAATTAGTTACTCATACATTGATACTAATTGGTGCTTACTTCTGGTGTTCAGCTGAAATCAGTTATATTGAGAGACTGAGAATATGGTGGCACTTGCATATTTTGGAGATTAGATTGAGAGTGGAGGGAGTGTACCATGTCCTTGCAGGTCACTGGGATGTGAGAGGGAGGCACAGAAAGACGTGGGAGGAAGCTGATAGGCGCACTTTGAAACTTGTCCAGTTGCTGAGTTGGCAGGAAAATTCCATGAGGAAAGGGGGATTAGAACATAGGGCTTCCTCTTAGAACTAAGAGGAACTGTCGTTGCCTGACTTTCCTTTTATTAGGTTTAAATAGGCTCCTGGGGCTTATTTGGGAACTTGGCCATAATCTTTTTGCATTGTTTCTGTGAGAAAGTGTATTCTAAGCTCCATGACAATTGTACAGACAGTGAAATCTGATGCTTTTGCTTATGCAGTTATGCTTAAGCATAACTGTTTCTCCTTTTTAATAATAGCATCCAAGCTTTTCCTATGGGATATTATCCTAACTTCTCTCTGGTAAACTCGACATCAGCCCTTACCTCTGATGACAGGCATATGATTCCCTGGACTACATTGGCTAGAGATGTGGTCTAAGGCAAATGAGATCTTGGGAGTTACTTGATTATTTGGTTCTATTGGGGTTTGAACTTAGGGCCCCACTCTTGTTAGACAGGTGTTCTTCCACTTGAGCCATACGCCTAGCCTGAGAGTTATTTGAAATCGTTGAGAACTTTCTCCTTCCCTGGAAATGTGGGAAGGAGTCTGTAATTTGTTACTATCAAGGGGAGACAACGTAAAGAATAACAGAGCCAGACATGAAGAAAGACTAACTTCACACATATGCTTGGATGCGTTTGTAACTCTCTTGTATGACACCCCCCGTCCAAGCTTTTTTTTTATAGCTTAAAAGTCAATTTGAGTTGAGTTTCTTGGCACCAAAAAAATTCTTATCCTCTTTGGGACATAAATCACTTGTAAAGTTGATTGCCTAGTATACATTTTTGCCATATGTGTACCTCAGTCTTTACCATGGTAAAATATGGACAGAACATGAAAATGCAAAATTGTTGCTTTAGTTAACGACATTCATTGTACCTCTCCTCGGATTGGATCTGGACTACTGACAACAGCTGATTCAACAACTGCTGGGTGCTCTATCAGTGCACTCTCCACTTCAAATGGCCCAATACGGTACCTGCAGAGGAAAAGAAGCCTCTGATCACTATACTCCTCAAGTAGAAGACCTCATGCCCCTGGCAAGCCATTGCTTTCTAAGAGTGGCAAATGGACAAACCCAGAGGATATAATGACATCATCAGCTCTGCCGACAAACCAGAAATACCCATCACTGTCCATAACTCCTCTGTCTCCAGTGACATAAAAATTTCCTCTTACTGTGGCAGCAGTTTTCTCTGGATTGTTCTAGGAATCAAAGATGACATTTGAAGATTAATTTGGACAGAATAGAGACAAGCGTGGGGCACCCATTAAGTGACTCGCACATTACAAATCTTACTTCCAAAAGAATTTTTTTTTCATCATGGTGGTTCTTAGCATTAAAATATAGAAGGTCTAAAAGAGTATAATAAAAAAGAAGTCTCTCTTCCCTCTCTTGTGCCATTCTGTATCATTCTTCTCCCCCAACCTGTCCACTTTTCCTTTCTGAGGACAACCACTACAACTGGTTTCTTATACTTGGATTTTAATCTTTACAGTACTCTTAGGTGACAGGTGATCTTCTCCACTTTTATAGCTGATAGAATAAACTGGAATTTGTTACTTGCCCAAGGTTATAAAGCAAGACATGGTGAATATGAAATTTGGACCCATGTTGGTATTAAAGTATGACTAGCACTTTCTACATTTTCATACCACATATTCAGAGAAGAAACAGAAGGGCCATGTAGACTTTAGTTTGAGAGCAATTTCTCCTTCTTTGCCAGGTGGAAGGATATTTCCATTTTCATCTATAACCTAGAATGAAATAAACAGTTTATATTCTGATGTTTTTCTTTTCATAGAATGAATGTGAGTTGTGAGTAGTTTTAAGAATAGCAGAAAACTAAAGTGTTCTAAAATGTTCTGTCTTCTTTCTTCAACCAGTTAGGCATTTTCTCAACTTACCTGGACATCGTATGGTATTACTCCTTTCCCCATGGAGCCTGGTTTAATTTCCTGTCCTTTCTGATTGGCACAAATTATTCCCTATTGAGAAGACAGGTATCATATAAGTATGTAGAAATTAATTTTCTTTCTGTTTTGCAGTACTGGGGATTGAACCCAGCACCTTGTTCATGCTAGTGGTTCTACCACTGAGTTATCCTGATGATGAAACTTAAGATTCTGCTTTGACTGATTTTCCCAGTATTATAAAAGACCATCTTTGGAAGCATGTTATTTTAGAGCAGCAATTCTTCAACTTGTGAGTGTATCAGAATCACCTGGAGTATTGCTAAGACACATTCTGTGGGCTTCATCTCTGAGTTTCTGATTCAGTTTGGCATGGGATCTGAGCATTTGCCTTGCTACCAAATTTCCAGATGATAGTGATGCTGCTTGTTTGAGGATTACAACTTGAACTCTACTTCTCTTAGACTGTACTATGTACACCTTTGAATAAATTCCAAGAGTCAGAGGGTCTTTTTCCAGGTCAATAGATAAACAAGCAGCCCAGTTCTAAATCTCACCAACCCCCAACACTTTTGAGATTTCTGTGTGGGGAGGAGGGAAGAATGTTGAAAAATCACAATTCCCCTTCAGCCAAACCTAACTGAGTTATTCACAACTTTTGGTAACTATTGGCAAGCAAGTTTCGAGCATGAATGGGGTGCTTCAGGGGCTCAGTCCTGGGGCTGAAAGGCCCCAATATATAGTCAATTCTACATATCTGCAGGTTTTACATCCTTGGATTCAACCAGCAGAGGATTGGAAATCTGAAAAAACATTGTGTCTGTACTGAACATGTACAAGAATTTTTTCATGTCATTAATTCCTAAACAATATAGCACAGCAGCTATTTAACATATCATATGAGGCGCTATAAGTAATCTAGAGATGATTTAAATTATATGGGTGCTCATTTCAGCAGCACATATACTAAAATTGGAATGATACAGAGAACATTAACATTAGGGTTAGCCTCCACTCAAGGATGACATACAAATTTGTGAAGCATTCCATATTTGAAAGAAGGGGGTACGGTGGGGATGAGGGGGCATTAGAAAGAGTAACAGAGGGGGTGAATATGATCAGAGTACATTATATATGTATGTATGGAAATACTACAATGAAACCCTGCACATTATACAGTTAATATGTGCTACTGAGGAAAAGCGTATGGGAGGATATGCTAAGGTTGTATACAAATGCTGTGTCATAAGGGACTGGAACATCTGAGGATTTTGGTATCCTCTGTGGTCTTAGAATTAATCTCCCATGGCTACAGAGGGACAACTGTTCTAAACTTAAATTTCGCCCTTTAAATTTACCACTTCTGTCTGTCCATAGCCTTCATACAAATCCAGCCCAGTTTGCATCTTCCACTGTTCTAGCACCTCAGCGTTGAGTGGCTCTCCACCGGTCACGCAGTGCCGCAGCTTCTTGAATTTATATCTGGAAAGACAAGAGTTGCGTGGGATCTTTAGGAGAGAAATCTGAGAGGCTTTCAATGTTAGATAATTAAGATGTTCAAGTGACAAACAAAAGAGCTAAGAGAGGCAAGTCTTAGGAAAGTTTGTTCACAAATATTTCTTGAACACCTACTATGTTGCCAGATACTGTTCTAGTAATGTGAGGCACGTCAGTGATAGAAACAAAGTTTTCTGCAGCAGTTTAGATTTTAGCAGGGTGAGGAGAACTTACGTAGTAAATAAGGAAAACGTAGACAAAAATGCTAATATAGATATTAAGTACTCATGAGATAAATGTAATAGTTTATGTTAATTGGGCTGTGGACTAGTAGTAAGGCTTTAGGAGCATTCTTAAAACCCTTGCAACATCTGTTTTACAGATGAGGAAACTGAGGCTCAGAGAAGTTAAAAAAAGTCCAAGACCTCCAAATAATAAAGGGTTGAGTTGGATGTTCTATACTGTGCTCTTACCACTTGTCAGGCTGATTTCTCCAAGGGCGTCACTTACATTGAATTCTTGCCACAATCCTGTGGAGTGGCTATTAATCTCTTATGGATGGGGTTGATGGAGGATTATCAATCAAGGTCATCTTGAGTGTTCAAGGTCACATGATTAGTAAATGGCAAAGCCCTGCCCATTTCGTTTTGGAGCTTGAGCTTTTAGCTGCTGGCATTACCGGACTCAGGTGAGAAAGCCTAGAACTACGCAGCTCTCATATGATGAGGTTCCAAATGGGCAGGAAGTTGTGGGTAGGTTACAAATTGTGGGTGTTCAAAGTAACCCTTAACTAGGTTTTGATTTACCTTTGAAATGTAAGCACGATGTTCACATTTTGAGGGCCTTGAAGAGTTGACACTGACTAGGAAAAGAGAAGATTCACATCTGCTTCATTCTATATCTTATGGCACTTTCTCTCCTGGGAATCCATACTTTGGTGGGAACGGAAGATGATCTAGCCTGCGTAACTCAAATTGTTTTTCTTTTCCTTTTGTTCTCATGTGCTGAATTGAGTTAATTATGTAAATATTTACTGAAACTACTGGGTGGGTAGCTGATTTGGCTAAATTGAATGCAACTTTCAAGTCATAAACTTTAAATGTGATTTTTTTTACTTTGTTTTGTTTTGAGGGAGTTGATTGTAAATGAGTTTTTCAAAAAGAGTAGTACTAAGAACAAGTTTTTTTAAGTGGGAGTTCTGGGATTGTAGTGCTCTGTCACTGGAAAATGCCCAATTCCCTCTAATGGATATCACAGTGGTTCTTAAACTGGGAGGCTATTTTGTCTTCCACTAGATTTAAGGCAATATCTAGGAACTTTTTTGACTGTCACAAATGAGAGAGGGAAGAAGAGAGGTGCCACTATCATCTAGTCATTGTGCTCTTCAATGTCGTACAGTGCATAGACCAGCCACTAGGACACAGAAAGTATTTGGTCCAGAACGTCAGTAGTGGTGACACAGAAATCCTGGGCTATCCTGTGCTGAAAGAGAAGCTTGGGATACTGGATGATGTCTTCTGTTTGTGGCTCAAATGGAGATTTCTACGCAAGTACCTCTTAAGGTCTTTTTGCACGAGCATCCGGTACACGGTGGGAGCACTGCACAGGGTCGTGATGGGATAAGTGGTAAGTGTCTGGAAGATGGAGAAAGAGACATGTTGAAGTGGTCAGTTAAAGGCCATGACTAAAGTTGGTGTCTATAACCTCTCATTACCTTCCATTAGTGTCTGTCCATTGTCACTGTTAGGAATAATAAAGCAAATATTTTTTAGAGTTGTCACTAGTGACTATATATCTGCTGGGGGTTTCCAGTTACTCGACAAAAATTTATATATGTTCAATAAACTGACATTCACTCGTTGAATTTGAGGACAACCTAAAGTACGAACTTTTTATTTTACCACAGAATTGCACATTTTTCATGGTGGAATCTTGTAACCCTCTGCCCATACATTCTCATGTAATAGTGACCCTGGATGTACAAGCTAACCTACTAGGACCTGTCCAGTGCCATTCTTATAAAGAACAGCAGTCCTTTTGAGTAGATTGAGTAAATGCAGAAGTAGGTATTTTTCAAGGCATTTTCTTTATGGTTTAAAATTTGCCGGGTACATTATACCCCCAGTTCCTTAAATCAAATAATAATCTAACAATCTTAAATCTAGAGGTGGTTTAGAGATCCTCTTTCTAGAGGAACAAGTTCCACTGTGTCACTTAATATATTGACAATTTGTATTAAATGTAATCATTTGAGAAAAGACTCCAACTATGTATTAAGACTATCTGGATTTCCACAGATTAAGAATAACTTTTAATCTGTAAGTGAGCATTTCTACTGTAAGTATCTGCTGCTTAGATTTTAATTATTTTTTTACCAAGTTTAATGAGGTTAAACTTAGTGAGGTTAACAAGTTAAATGAGGTTAACAAGTTTTGAAACTGCAAAGTGAACTGATCTTCAGTTCTGTAAACCTGATGGAGGGAACCCAGTTCTAATCTTACTCTTATGTTTTTCTTAAGACCCTTAAGCCATTATGTCAGACCAACTGGCAAAATAACAGAGTGAACCTTGCTTTTATTTACACGCAGGTGTAGTGTATATGTAATAATACATATTTTGTTATACTCAATTGATTTTTTTCATGGCTGAAAAATAATTGACCTGCATCACACTTTTCTAAGGGCTAAAGCTATCAGATATCTCAATCTACCCATGTATGGCTGCAAAGGAAGTGCATGGCTTCCAGAAGAGTGCATGCTTGCATCTGCAAATTAAAATGGGAAGCATAGGGTAGGGGCTGGGAGGATGGAAGGAGCTTTTCCAGGAGAAAGGTGAGCCCCCCAGGTCTCCTTTACCACAGGAGTTCAGATTGATCGATCAGCTATTGTCTTTTTTCCCCCCTGGATCAGAAACAAAATACTTGTTTAAACTTGAGACTTCTGTGACTTAGAACCAGGCTCCTAAATAGCCACAATTTAGTGACACTAGTAAGTGTTGAGGGATTTTTGAAGCAGCATTATGCATTTCCCACCCGAGAGTGTTGTGGGTGACCCCCCTCCACTCTGTTAAATATCTTCAGAAGCCAAGTCCCCAGAGACTTTCCTTAAAAAGGAATGGCTACCAGAGGCCCTCAAAGCACCCTGTATTCTAAGGAATCTTTTTATGTATTCTTTTTTGTGGTGTTGTGGGAGATGGGGCGAGCTCTAAAGATTACGTAATCAGAGATCAGTCCTTACATCCAGGAAGGTGTTAGTGTCAAACTGGGCCATCTGATGCACAAAAACACAGGCTCCCTGAAGCCAGGAAGAAAACACACTACCAATGGCAGCCTTGATCCAGCCTGTGTCAGACATGTTCCATATGATATCTGAAGATGTCAAGTCCAGCCAGTATCTAAATGATAGGGAAAAGCAACAAACAGAGCAAAAATAAATAAATCAAAAATTTTAAAAATCCAGAAAATCAAACAAACTGGTAACTTTGAGAAATGGCCTTGACTTTCTCATGGGTTACAGAAAAGGGTCAAAAGAAGCCCCAAGTCAAGGTGGGGAATTCTACATCCCACTATTCTTAGAGGAATTTTTCAGAATCCTATATGGTCTGAGAGTGAAGTGGGAGACTGGATTTGGCATGATTTTCTGAGTTCATCCTTTTTTTTTTTTTTGGTGGTGCTGGGGTTTGAACTCAGGACCTCACACTTACCACTTGCTAGGCAGGTGCTCTATCAGTTGAGCCACTCCACCCCCCCCCTTGAGTTTGTCTTTTGATGCAGTAAACATTGGGCAAATATGATGTGCTAGGTACTGTTCTAATTGAGAGAGCAAGGTAGACTAGACTCTATGTTTATTTCAGGGAGACAGAAAGGGAATAATTACATAATAAAGTGATTTGAGTATATTAAAATACCATAATTTCAAGAAGTGATGAATGGTATGAGGAATATAAAACAGTAATGTGACAATTTTAGGTAGCTTTTCTTTTAGGAAGGCCCTTCTGGGTAGATAAATTTATCTGACAATGAGGAGATGGAACTAGAGATGCTGTTATGGGATTGAATCAAGGTCTAATACTAAATTCTTGCTCGATCTGTTGGTTAGATGTCACATTTACTGAGCTAGAGTGGGGCAGGGGCTTAAAGAATTCTGTTTTATAGATGTCATATGGGAAATATCTTATAGTCACTCAAGAAGAGGTGACAGTTGGATATACATTGGCAGCTCAGGAGAGAGTTTATAAAAAAACAAACTGAGTTTTACTCCCTACCTTCCACAAAGGGCATACCCAATGCCAAGGCTGCTCTGAGAGTGCTGAGCCATCTTAGGGGAGCCTGTGGTTCCACTGGTGAAATAAATGGCCATTGGTTCTTGACTTTCTGTCTGCACACAACTGTGTTCTTCAGAAGCAGATCTGCAAAATAGGGACCCCTAAGATGTTGGATGAAAATGTTAGATAAGTTTAACTCTGATATTTCTTTTGTTTTGGCGTTCTTGAAAGGAATTTTTCAAGAAACCTTAGAGGGACTTTGAAGATTAGTGCCAAGATTGAACAGCTCAAATCTTGCTTATCTCCCAAAGACCAAATAGATAGACAACTTTCAATATTAATAACAAAAGGAAATGCATTTATTTAAACATTTAATCCTAAGTGATTTTTAATCTATAAATTAAAAAAAATTTGCATTGAATCTTTACAAATGGATAGTAACTTTTCATTTTTTTACTTAAAGTTCTTTCAAAATTTCAAAAGTCCTTCAAACTTTTAAATAGTTTTGTTCAGTATCTTCATCTCTGACAAGCACAGCTATTTGCTTACCAAACAACTAGCTGTTCTTCTTCCTGAAGTAATAAAATCTGATTGTGTTCCGATACCAGGCAGTTGGATGGTTCAGGGGAGACTGTCTCTGTGTAACTGTTCAAGGGTGAATCTTGATTAACCTAAGGCAATCATGGTCATTCCTTCACTTGCCAGTGATTGGCTTAGGAATAGGCTCATGATACAGTTATGGTTAATGAAATGTAAGGCAAATATATTCTTGTTCTGAACAGAGTAATGAAGAAGGGACACTGTCTTCTCCTATGGAACTATCCTGTTTATAGTCTTTGAATATTGTGGTGCAAGTACAGGACATCTGGAACCACCTTAGGCATCATGCTGAGAATGGCATGATGAAAAATTACTGAATTGGTTTCCATGTTAACTTCATTGAGCCACTAAATTAACAGTTCTCAGGTTTTCCTACTTCTGCACTTATTTGTGAGATAATAAAAACTTTTTGTATTGTTTAGATCACTTTTATTTGGATTACTAAAGCCAAAAGCATTATTATTATATCCTTTTGGTGGTACTAGGGTTTGAACTTGGCATAATTTTTTTTTTTGTGGGACTGGGGTATGAACTCAGGACTTCATGCTTGCAAAGCAGGTGCTTTATACTTGAGCCACACCTCCAGTACCAAAAGCAGGATCCAAGGTCCTACAGAGTCACCTTAGTAAAAAGGACTATGGAAAAGAAAAACACCTGTCTGGTGTCTCGACTTCTTCCTCTTCCCATTAGAAATCTTCTGGAACATGTCCATGGCTTTGTCTTAGGGAGGCAGTAGAAGAGTGAAGAGTGCTTAAAATGAACTCCTGGAATAGGGCATAAAATCAGCCCTCATTATTGCTCTTCGATATTATCTGAGAAAGTGGACAACTGTTGGCTTAATTTTTAAAGAAATAATTCATGGCTATTTTGAAGTTATGACGTTCTAAAGTGGTTTGTTTGAAGTGAGGATTCCCTCCATCTTGAAAACCATCATCAAATATACAGATTTCAACTTGAAATTCATGTAAGTTTAGAGCCCCTTTTCTTTTGTGAATTTTGTGATTCCTTTATGATTTCCTGGAGACACAACAGAATGTTGCAAACTTGTTGGAGATAAGAGCCTCCAAAGTTAGGGTGCTCACTGCTTATGGAGTGTGTAAGATAGTTGGGATGGGAAGAAAATAGGAAAACTTCAAATTATATGTATTTAAAAAAATTTATCCTTTAAAATTTTTGTTTTGGGTATTTGTATAACATACAAAAATATATGGATATAATTTAAAAAATAAATAAATATATTTATTGGGGAATGTATTAAAATATGTTATTGATGGAAATGCATATTTACATAATGTAGATATCACTACTTTAGGAATCACTTCACTGTTGAATAATAATAACACTCATAATTACTTTAAAGTTATGAAAGTTATAATTACTCTTTATAGACTGATTACTAGGCATTATGTTAAGCATTTCTCATGCTTTATCACATCTGACTCTTCTATAGCCATATGAGCTAGATGCTATCATTATCTTCCCTTTATAAATAAGATACAGATAAATACAGAAATGTTATTTGACTCACATAAAGTTACACAGCTTACAAAAGACAGACAAGATTTTTTTTAAAAAAATAAGCTATTTAACACTTCCTTGAAAGATACCATTAATTATCATTTTATTAATTTCTTATAGCTTAGGAAGCACTTCCTCAGGTATTAGCTGTTTTAACAACACTGGATAAGTATAGTACAGTTATCTCCACTTTACAAATGAAGAAAACTGAGGTTAAGTGATCTGTTTCATTCATTCATTTATATATTCATAATGAATGAGTGACTCATTCATTTATTAAATATTTCTTAAGCACCCAGCTATGTGTTGTTAACTACTGGGGATGAAATGATTAAACAAGCAAACAAATGAACATAGCCTCTATTTTATTAGAATGTATAGTTTAGGCAGGGGTTGGTAAATTATGTCTATAAAGGGCCAAATAGCAAATATTTTAGGATTTGTGGACCATATAAGTCTCTGTTACAAGTTCTCAACTCTGCTGTTGTAACATGAAATCAGCCATGGACAATATATAAACAAATGGGCATGGCTGTGTTCCAATAAAATTTTATTTACAAAAATGATGGGCTAGATTTGGCCTCTGATATCTACTCTAGAGGAAAAAAACAGAGTGAAATGACTGGATCTAGTAATTCATACGGTGATTCAGAGTGTTGTGAAGAAAACAAGAGAATGATGATAGAGTGGCTTGTAGTTCTACTCTTGTTAGTTTGTTCAGGAAAAGTCTCATTTACGATAAAACTTTGAGGAGAAATATGACAAGAAGAAGTGAAAAGGACTATGAAAAGGACTAGGGAAGGGCATTTCAGGCAGAGACAGCAAGGTGCAAAGGCCCTGAGCTAGGGAACATTTAAGGAATAAAAAGGAGAGTGTGGTAGATGTGGTCCAGGAGTTAGGCAAAGGCCAGGCCAGACAGCATACTCATCATAGGCCACAGGAGAAACCAGGAAAATGGGGCAGAACTGTAGCCCTTCCTTTTGCCTGTAAATCATTTTATTAGGTAATCCTTTTTTGGGAAGTAGCCCAGATCAACTCACAGTATTGCTTTGGACAAATAGATACCAAGATGTAGCTGTGATTTGTGCTGTTGCTGGTACTGCACATAGGCTGGGAAGAATACTCACTGAAATAGCTCCTGGAAGCTGAGCCACCCATGCCGGCTGTGTGGAGACACCAGCAGTTTGGTCTTCAGTTTGGGACACTCTGACACGATGGACTCCACTGCTGGAGCCACTTCCTCACTGGCCACAATACACTTGGCCTCAGATGCTTGTAACCGGTAGAGGATGTCTTTTGCCATCAGCTGGGTTGTTCCTGGCATGAAGACAAGCCCTGGGAAGGATAGAGGTTCCTGAACTGGACATAAATGTTGTCCAACCCTTAGATATAACCTTGTGGACTATGGGAAACTTGGGCTTTGGGCCTGAATCCAAACTTTGGTTGTTCTTGTCTTGGTTCCCAGGGATATCCCAGACTCTGATCACTGGGAGATTATTAGAACACTAGCTTTGGAGTCAGATAGACCCTGAGTATAATCCCGGCCAGGAAACTTACTAGCTTTGTGACTTTTATCTCTCTGTGCCTTCTTATCTGTGAAATGGGGATAATGGTGGTATCTGGCATACAGGAGACATTATACTGGCAGGCTATTATCATATAATGTTTTAGTGTAATGTCTGAATCATTATCATGTAACACTTAAATAGCACTTTACATCTTATGACACATTTTCACAAATATTATCTCATTCAGTCCTTTCAACTAATAGTCTCCAAAGTGAGTTATGTAAAATAATCTACTGGACATAAGAAAAGAAAACAATAGAACGTTAAAAAAATCATTGAGATACTAGAATTCTTTTTGTATGTTTTATAATAAATACTATATTATAGTGCAGTAGAACAATATAAGAAACTACTCAGATGGAAAGATGTGTGTCCCATGTTTTTACTGATATATTGTACCACCTGAAATGCTTGGAGACTACCATTGTAAGAAATCTTGGTAAGTCCATGCAGTTGTTGCTATTTGATGGAATATGAGATTTGGTTAGAGATGGTGAGTGACAGATCCAGCTCTCAGATCTCTGGATCGTAGTGGTGTGGCATCATTGAGGATTGCCTAGACTACTTCATGCTTAATGTGTTTTACTTTCTCACTTCATCGTAGACACTGGCCAGAGATAGGACTGATTTCAAAGTACCATTTCTTGGCTGGGGGCTGGTGGCTCATGCCTGTAATCCTAGCTACTTGGGAGACTGAGATTGGGAGGATCATGGTTTTAGACCAGTCTGGGCAAATAAATAGTTCATAAGACCCTGTGTCCAAGATAACCAGAGCAAAATGTACTGGAGGCATGGCTTAAGCGGTAGAGCATCTACTTTGCAAGTGTGAAGCCCTGAGTTCAAATCCCAGTCCCACCCCCCAAAAAACCAAAACCAAAACCAAACCAAACCAAACCAAAACAAAAAACCCAAAACCAAAACGACAAAGTGTCATTTCCTTAAGAGAAGGTCATAAATGGCAGAATTAGATGTGAGACAGAGAGAAGGTGCTTTGTACTTTCTAATGTGAATTAATGGGAAGAAAGTGGCATGTATATAATTCATTACCTATCAGTAATGAATTATATCACCACTACCTTTCATGGAGTACTCACTATATATGCCTGGTTTCTCACTTAGAATTAATCCCCATGTATGACAACTTGCAAAGTCAGTAATTGGCAGATCCAGAATTCAAAGATACATTTCACAGACTCCCAGGACTTCTGCTGTCAACATACTTATTGTTTTGGTGAGTTCCCTAAAGTCAGCTAAATAGGGAGATGTAAAGTTGGTTCTTAAGAAGAATTTATTTTGTTGAATGTATTTTAAAAGTCCTTAGATGTTATCTCTTCTTAAGAAAATGAATAAATGCATGAAGATAAGGAAGTTGATTAAGAAGACATTCTAGAATATCTCAGACTGTTCACTCAGTATTAAAATGTAAGATTACGTATCTTATGAACTACTCGTTCTTTTTTTGGTTTTTTTCAGTACTGGCATTTGAACCTAAGGCCTTACGCTTGCTAGGCAAATGCTATACCACTTGAGCCACACCATTTGTTCTCAATGGCTCACAAATAATTAGTCTCCTTAGTTCTCCAGCTTGAGGGCTGGGAGAATATTTCTTCTTGTTGATTTTAGACAGCAAATATCTTAGACTTTCCTGCATACACTTCATAGCAAAAACAAAATATTATGCCATGTGGTGTTGTACAAGTAATCTCAAAATTTACATGAAATATTTAATAATTCCAAGTTAGAAAACAGTATCTTCAGCTGCTTGCTTATTTAGTGTTTTGAGCATTAGGCTGTGTGTTTGTTTTTATTGTTATTCCATAAAGTGCACATATTCATTTAAATTATATTAAATACATATTTTTATTACAAAAAACACCCTAAATCTTTTCCCAAATCAAAGTGATTTCCCATTTACAAGTTTTTTATAATAAATGCAAAAATTTTATATTGCTTTTTTATTTGTTATATTGGTAGTAAGAGCATTTGTAGTGCAACTGTGAAATTCTTAATATTATATTAACATTGTTATTATCTATCCTTATTATAAATTACAATTTAGGTGATATCCCATCAAGTGGAGGTGCTAGAGTTTCAATCGCAATAAACACACCTCAGCTAAACTTATGTCTTAGCTAATAAATAAAATACATTTTGATTTATAAATAATAATAAATCATAAATAATTTCTATTTGTCTCCATTTTTTACCACTATTAATGATATTGTAACAAACATCTTTCTGTTGTTTGCTATAGTAGTTTATCTTTTGGAGCAGAAATTGACAAACTTTTTTGGTAAAGGGCCAGATAATGAATAGTTTAGGCTTTGTGGGCCATATGATCTTTGTTTCAGTTAGCATTTTAGCAGTTATAGAACCAAAAGAGCCACAAACAATATGTAAATGAATGAGTATGGCTATATTCCAACAAAAATTTATTTATAAAAACAGGTGGCCAACTTGCAGACCTGGTTTGCTGATCCTTTCTCTAAAGGAGAAATTTTATATGAGGTACATTATATCACTACTTTGGGAGACAATGTGTAATTGAATATATTAATCTTGTTTGGAAAGAAGTGGAGGTTTTCCAACTGGAGTCCACAGTCAATCATTTTCTTACAAATTCTAGCATTCAAAAATTCCTTTTCTTCTTTCAGTATTTTCATGTCAGAGAGAATGCAAATACATTCAGAGAAGAAAATTCTGGGTCATTAGGTTGAATGTGTCATAATCCAGCACTGCAAAGAAGCATTGCTATCCTCATTTGCTTTTATAGAGCATTGTGTTTGAATCCTAATTGCATAGATTTTTATCTGTGTGACTTTTGCAGATGTAGCTTCTTTGAGCCTTGATTTCCTATTCTGAAAAATGGTTACCACAATAATCCTGACTCTTATGGTAGTTGTTAGTATTATCATATCACGATTTACATTAATTTCAGCTTTTCTGCCTTCTGTAAGCACAGCTTTAGTCAAAGCTAATACCCTGGAAAATGATCAAGATTCAGTCTCTTTGTGTTTCTGCACGATTTACAGATGATAAACATTGACACCGACCTGTTCGCATGCAAGCCACATTGATGAGCCACCATTCAGGGATTCTGGGTAGAATTACGGCCACTCGGTCTCCTCTCTGAAGGTTACAGGGTTTGGTGAGCACATTGGCGGCCTTTCTGGACAAGTAGCTCAGGTCTCTGAAGTTCCATTTCACCTCAGACCCTTGGCTATTTACCCACCACAGGGCTGGGTTGGCAGGTCTCTCCCCTGTCTGGCCAAGGACACATGGGAAAGAGAAGAGAAAGGACTATGATTTTGAAGTATCCCCCAGAGGTCCATGTGTTAAAGACTTTCTTCCCAGTCTGCTATTGAGGGGTGGTGGAACCTTTTGGAATTTGGGGCCTACTGGGAGGCAGTTAAGTCATTGGGGGATATTGGGATGTTGGTATAAGGATATTGGGACTCTGTTGCTTCCTCTCTCTCTTGCTCTTTTTGCTTCCCAGCTGCTGTGAGGTGAACAGGCCTCCTCTAGCATGCACTCCCCCCATGATGTACTGTGCTGTCACCAGCCCAAAGCAACAAGGCCAAGCATCCATTGACTACAACCTCTGAAACCATGAGGCAAAATAAATCATTCCTCCTTTTAAGCTGTTTATCTCAGGTATTTTGTCACACCAACAGAAAGCCGAACACAGAATGCTTATATCCTGCTTACCACATAAAAGGACATTTGCCATTACTCCTCATCATCCCCTGTTTCCATGCATTATAGTAACAGCACCCCAGTCTCTGGGGGAACTGCTCCTCTCCTGTTGATTACAGCCTTGGCACAATAGGGTACTTGTCTTTCTCTGATCAGTGGATGGGCATGTAACCAAAATTTGGGCCAATCAGATCTTTTCTCCTTGGACTTTGAATTTTCTGAGAAGAGCCAAAAGATAGAAAATGGTCACAGCAAAGCCTCCCTATGGACTCTTGGTGCTTATGTTCCCACCAGGGAGCTGTCCTGATTCCTGTCCTTACTGAGACAGACTCTCCAGCTTCCACTACAATTTTGTGATCTCTCCCATATTCCTCTAATGAATTTTATTGTTCTAACCAAATAACATAAAGGGATATACTAAGTTTGATTAGGAACCTGAGGTGTGGGTTTTATAAGTCATATGGAGCAGTTCATGGGCATCAATGGATTGATTTCTGGAGGAAGCTTCTCACCTATCATTCTACAAAATGAACCACCTGTACTGAGTAACCTTTTTACTTAATGTATTACCTCAAAAAAAATTACTCCCTTTTCATTCTGGAATACTTATTCTATCTTTCCTGGTTGGAAAATACTTCAAAGTCAAGTTTACTTTTCATTTCATCTGTAAGTCTCTTATGTTCCTCTTCTTTCCTTGTGCTCCTTCAGCCTTATATTTTTATTCCAGGTGCTGTGTGGTGTCATCTTACAAATGTGTCCTTATGCTGTGGATGTAGCGCAATAATATTAGGGACTTTGTTCATGTTCTTTTAGAGCTGTGTGACCTTGGATAAGTAGTTTAATTTCTTTGAGGCTAAGTTCATTATCTACCCATGCCCCAAGATGGTTATGGTTTTTGATGAAATAGTATGTCAGTATTTCTCAATCTTTAGTCATTTGAGTGTCAGTATTTCTACCAGATCTGTCTATGTCTATCTGCACCTTTCTTTTTATTTGTTTTTACATTGACTCATTTGTAAATATTTACATAAAAAGGAAAATCCATTTAATTAGCACAACAATTGAAAAATCTGTACCACTTGCTTAAAATATTTTCGACTATAGAAATATATACAGTGAAAGCAAAACTATGCCCTAAATTTTATCTAAAGATTATCAGCTTCTTAGGCTAATGGAGTTGCTCAAGTGGTAGAGCGCCTGCCTTGCAAGCATGAGGCCCTGAGTTCAAACCCCTGTACCATCCCCTCTCCCTCCCAAAAAGATTAACAGCTTCATTTTTTTGTGGTAGGATCTTGGCTTGAACTCGGTATCTTCTTACCTCTGCTTCTTGAGTGCTGAGATCGCAGGTGTGTGTTACCATGCCTAGCTTAAAGATTACTGAATTCTAACTACTCTTTCTGTTCAGAAGAAAGTTTAGCAAGTGTTAGGTGTTAAAGACTCAATGACTTTCAAGGAAAACTTTCCCCATCTAATTCATAGGAAGAATTAACTTTAATGTTATTTAATACCTTGTAAATCTAGGACCTAACATCATCTTCTGAACCACATCCTACACTGCATTTTGATAAGCACTGATAAATGAAATGCTTAGTATGTGCCTGGCATGGGGTGGTTAGTAAGCAGGCCCCTTGTATGGAGGCTATACTGTAAGATTCTAAGGCATGCTTGTTTTATTCTTCTCAACTTCTGATTCTCACCCAATTACTTCAATGCTTACTATATTTATAAAACCAAAGTTGAAATTCCTACCTTTTTGATAAGCCTGTAACTGTCCTGAACCTAAAGAGCTGTTGTGTGGGAGTTGGAAGACATAACTCTGTGAGCAACCACAGTGTGTGCAGAGGGAGTATGAAGGAAGAGATCAAAAAGGCTTCAGAGAAAGGCATATGTTGTTGAGTATCTAAGATCACTGGGGAGAGAGGAAAGACATCAGAAAACAGGAAACTAATGCAGGTAGAAGAACTGAATTGAAATTGACAAGTGTACCACAGAACAAGGGCATGGAAGACAGGGATAGGTGAGCACCAGGCTTCTAGTGGAAGTTGATCATCTTATACCTTCTCCTTTTGGGACCACTGATCCAGCACATCACTAGCAAAGTTAAAGTTCTTAGGCAACGACTTGTCACAGCGATTTATGGCTTCAAAGTCAGAAAGGGCAAGAGGCACCCAAAGCTGGTGATCTCTGTGGAAGTACCGGACAGACGACTTGGCGAACCAGATGAATTTGAATGTCCGGTAGTGGAAAAATATCTTCATGATTCCCACAGGACTTTGTCTACTGATACAGACCCAGAAGTACCACAGCCTGTGGGGAGAGATAGGTGGAGAGTGTCAGTCAGAGATTGGGAAGTGGACTTGTGGCTATGTGACCCCTGGTAAATTGAGGAACTTCTACATGCCATGCTTCTTCAGGGCTATTGCCTTTAGCAGGTGTACACACTTGGTCTCACTGCCACTGGACTCTCTCTTTTCATCCTGTCTGTGCCAGGTTAGCAACCCCCCCACCCTGTAACTATAGAATTGGCAAGGTTCCATCTTCTGTCCTCACCTCCTCAACAATGCTGCCTGAATTGGCATTCAAGGCCTGCCTCTGTCTGCTTCATACTCTGTTCTAATCATATCTGCTAATTCCTCTTCTTGAATTTCCTCTTCCAGTAACAGCAGCCCATTTACTTTTTGGGAATGTCCATTTCTACCACCAACATGTGGCCCGTCAGTCCCCTCGATTCTGTTTACCCTGCCCTCCTTTCTTCTTCAAACCTTCATTATAATTGGTCAGAAACCTTCATCAGAGTCCTGACTCAGACACTTCTTGTCAGTAAGGCTTTGGGAAAATTACTTATCTTCTTGCACCTCAATGTTCTCATCTGTAAAATGGGGAAATGTAATACCTCCCTCCTAGGCTTGTTATGAAGATTTAATAGGACAATATGTGTAAAATGCCTAGTTCATTATTTACTGTTACTTTTTGTGTTTTTTGGGTGGTACTGGGGTAAGGCAGGTGTTGTGTCATTTTTGTCTCTCCCTCAACCCTTTTTACTTTAGTTATTTTCAGGTAGAGTCTCATGTTTTTCCTTACTCACCCTTTCTGGACTTCCATCTGCAATCTAACTTTTTTCCCTGATTCCATAATCACTTCTTCCTTTGAAAGTTATTTCCATAACTTGCATCATAGTATTCATGTGACAGTTGTCTAGCTTGTTTTTATACATGTGTTCTGTCTCCCTAAACTACCTATGGTATGGGTAGAAGCTATGTAATAAATTCTTAGCGCTAAACATGACTCATAGTGACAAGAAAAGCCAATGTTCATGAAATCCTTGCTCTAAGCCAAGCACTTTACATGCCTGATATCATTCAACATTCATGGCAAACTTAAGAGGCTGGAGCTACTTTTATGTCCATTTGCAGAAGAAGCTCACGTAGACTAAAGGAACTTGCCCAGGATCATGCAGCTCATGGTGGCAGAGGCAATCTTTGAACTTCTATGACCTGACTTTAGAGACTGGCTACTCAACCGTCTGCTATTCAGTATCCTTTATGCTACCTTCTTCAATAAAGGGTTCTTGTAGACAGTGAACACCCTCATCCCCTACCCTTCAGTTCTATGTTGTTGATTTGCACGGAATGGAAAAGTTTGCAGATGTAAAGAGTGGCTGGGTCTACAGCATGGTGATAACAAATAAACAACAGAACAATCCTTTCATTGTTTCCAACCCCCTTTGCTGCTCAGAATATCTGGACAAGTCTATTTGGCATGAATATACAATTTACTCTAGTCCTGGAAGTAGTATGTCTGGTAGTGCTGTTGGTATTAAGCTCTTTGTTATGTTAAGCTAGAAAGAGGGATCATGTGTAGAAATCTCAGTGAATCCCATTAAAATGTACAATTAACATGTGTTAATAGTAATAATAAAAAAGAGAGCAAAAACATAAGAGATTATGCCTTATCTGGGCAATTTTCAGGAAATGTTGTGGAGGTATCACAAGTAAAAAAGGGAGGAAAAGGAGAAGCAGAGTAGGCCATTCTCATGATTTAGCATTTTCCAAAAGTGAGACCCCCATCCTTCTCCTAAAGCACAAACACATACATGTGCACATGCTGGAAACACACTCAAATCCACAGTTGTTTCTCTGAATGACATTTACAACTCTTTCCAAGCTGCTTAACCTTACCGGCTCTCATTTTCATCTGTGCCATGATAGTAATGATAATATCATCTTCACTAGCTAGTTGTGGGCCTTATGTGAATATATTTTTATGGTGTATGGTACATGGCTAGTACTCAATAAATGGTGCACATTAAAAATCAAACCTAGAGCTAGCAGCATGACTCAAGTGGTAGTGCTCCTGCATAGCAATCACAAAAAAATAAAATCTAAACACCACTCATGGGTGGAAGGCTTTAGCTGCTTTACCAAAAAATACAAACACTGTTGGATTGGAGCCTTTAACGTTTATTTCTGCTTGTCCTATTGCCATGTCACTATGTATCCTGTTGTCCTCAGGAATGACCTTAACTCCATTATTCAGAAGCATTCTAGATTTCTCTTCCATCATTTTAACCTTTCTTGGTCTCAGTTTAATGATGAACTGGAAAGACCTGGAATACCCTTACTTCCTAAGGAGAACAGCGAAAAGACCTAACAGCAGATAGATTTAATGCAACCCTCTTCTCCATTTCTTCCTCCAAAACAAAAGATGATGATTTTTCATGAACTGTTCTTATTTCCTATAATTCTATGAACAAAAATTCCATATCTTAATTAATTACTAAATCAACATATCAACAAATCTAAAATTACATATTGTAAATAGATTTGAACTGAACATACATTTTAGCATTTCATGTATTCTGTGCATAGAGTGATGTAGATATTGCATTTCCAAATATAATCACTAGTAATCTGTACTTAGATATTAGTAAGATTTTTTCAATTAACTTAAAAACATTTTTGACCATAACATTTCTTCTTTTCTATCTCTTTGATCTGCCATTGATTTTTAAGAATAGATTTGGCAGAGATAAGCCTTCAAGGAGACTACAAAACTCTGAGGGGCCACCATTTTGCATTGAATAGAGCCATTTCTTTACTTGGGACATTCATATGATTACAGGATCAAATCAGAGAGTTGCTGAGTATTTTAAGTTAAAACATTATCATTGTAGAAAGTTGCATATACACATGTTAATGAAATATCTCCGGAAAATATCTTAAAAGTGAGAGTTCAGATAAGTCATTTCTAAAGTTTTAGTGATTTCCAGAGTGTTAAAAGAAACCAAAACTTAATGAGAAATCTGTAGCTGCTCACGTTAATGGCTCAAAGACAATGTGATATCTTGTTTAATTATCTCAGCAGCCTTTGAAGGCAGTATTTTATTTCACATATATACAATTTAGTATTCTGTAAATATGGTAACGGGGGCACCAAAGGGTAAGTAGTTTTCCAGAGGCCATTTATCTATCAAGAAGCAGAATTTTGAGCCCTACATTTGTTGTCTTCATGGCAGATGGAAAGAAATGCTGTCCCAGATTTTTTGCTACATTTCTACCAACCTTCATAAAGCAGGAGAACAGTTTAGCTGTCAAAGGGACAGTTATCTTGGCTTGGGTCTGCAATGATCCAATTATGGCAAGACAATATGCCTCTTTTCTGCTGCTGTGCAAGAGTCACTTGTACATTAATATATGCACCTACCTTACCAGAAAATGGTAGTATTGATCCAGAAAGGCCTTCAGCTCCTTCACAAAGACTCAGCTTTGTGTCTGCCAGAAAATCAGTTCCTTCCCTCCCTTCTTTTGGTGGTATCTATGCCATTGTGGCTCCAAGTCTCTGGTGTGCAGTTGGGAAGATCATAATCCCCTGGGAGGAGAGTTTTCGTTTCTCTGGACAACCTGTGGTTAAAGGGCCAGCAGCTTATAAGACACAGCTGTGAGAAGAGAAAGGAAATACAGAAGCCACCTCTCATGGTTCAGTGCCAAACAAAGGCTAAGCCTCAGCACATTAGCAGATTACTCTCATTCTTGGAGCTGATGATATTGAGATCCATACTGCTCAAGTGGACTGTTCCAGTGCTCTTGACAGGATTAACAAGTAGCCCAGGACATTGGCTCAATTACTGTGCTCCAAGCCTACCAAAGTAGTATAGCAAAAGGAATCACATCTGAACCCTCGACAAATAGATTTAGAAGAACCGATGAGAAGTCTTTCAAACTTCTGGCTTTTATTGAGTGTCAGTATGTGTCAGGAAATGTAAAAAAAATTTTGTCCCAATGTTATTTCATTTGGAAATCATCTTGAAACAATGTTACTGACTGATGTTTGGACAACTTTCACTTTACTTATTTTATTTTCTAAAAATATACATATGTACATGTTCTCTGTCATGAGCATACCTTACAACATTTTTATAATAAAAATTTATAAATTATTCCTAGTGAGCTTGAATATACAGTTATATCCTCAAATCTGTAAAAAATGCAATTTTATTTCTCCATAACAATACCATTACTTTCATTCTTGAATCTCCATTTTGCTCCATAACCAAACACTGATGTAGTTACTGCTAGGGAGACTCTATCACATTAGCATTTGAATTTGACCAATTCAGAGTTTGAACTCAGTCAACATTTTGGCCTGCTCCTTCCCATCTCCTTGTGTCCTGGGATCAGGAAACAGTCTGGTCTGCACTTATTAACATCTGTTCATGGTGGCTTTTGCTGAGATGCACTGCCCTTGCTGATCTTTGATCCTTGCATCTACCTTCTGCTTCTACAGTCAGGCATCTCCATAATGATCTGTTCTGTAACCACATAAAATGGCCCTCCTTATAGTCTTTTTAAATTTTTAATTTCCTTATTTCCTCCCTCCCTCCATCCCTTCTTTCATCCCTCTCTCCCTCCCTTCCTTTTTTCTTTCCTTCCTCCCTCTCTCTCCCTCTCCTTCTCTCTCTCTCTTCAGCATTGGGAATTGAGCTCAGGGCTATGTGCTTGATAGACAAATGCTCTATCACTTGAGCCATGCCCCCAGCCATCCTCATACTCTGTACTGCAAGGTAGCCTCTGTTCCCCAGCCCTCTCTCAGCCACTTCTGAGCTCCTCCGGGGACATTTTGAGATGCTTTCCTGAGTCATGTCAGCATGCCAGGAGTGTCTTAGATCTTCTCTTCCACACCATCATGCAGTGACCTAATGTTGTAAGTTCTGAGTATCCAGAAACTTTAGCTTGCTATTTATAGCCAAGCTTCTAGAAAC